AAAACCCTATAAAATTAACACATTATTTGCAAATAATTGAGTAAAATCGATTGAAAGGGGGAAAAAAAAAACGCAGCTCTTCATAGACATCCATCATTTTTTCTCAAAAATCAAGCTCAAATTGAATAAATCAAATCAAATTGAATACATGTGATGATAAACAACACTATAAGGAATTAAAACCCTATAAATGTAACACATTATTTGCAAATAATTGAGTAATATTGATTGAATGGCAGAAAAAAAAATAACGCAATTCTTCACAGACATCAGTCATTTTTTCTCGAAAATCAACCTTAAATTGAATAAATCAGATCAAATTGAATAAATCAGATCAAATTGAATATATGTGATGATAAAAAACACTATAAGAAATCAAAACCCTAAATTATTAACACAATATTTGCAAAATATTGAATAAAATTGATAGAATGGTAGAAAAAAAAAAAAAAACCGCAATTCTTACTTGTTTTTCCTGCACCCGTGGTTTCAAATTCAAATATGAGATGAAATCGTCCAAAATACTCACAAATTATGAACAACTTCTAAACAACACTCTTAAGATAAAAAAACCCTCAGATTTTACAAAAACTGATGTCCTATTTTGCTTGAAATCAAAGAAATGACGAATCCCTAAAACTCACGCTTTGTTCTTCACAGATCGAAATATTTGTGATCAAAATCGATGATTTCTACTACAATTTATTGACTGAAATGTTTAAAAAGATTAGAGTAAAGGCTGAAAGATTCGATTACAAAGCTGAAAAATATGAAAAATGACAAAAAAATGATAAAAAACCATGAATCCCGTGAAGAACACTATGCAGCCCATGTTTTACTATTGGGAACATGTTTTACTATTGGGAACCGGCTTGACTCGGCGATTCACTGTTGGGAATCGTCCGGTTCTCTCTAGACACGAATGATTCACGGTATTTTAGTGGAACCGGCACGGAAGTGCCGGTTCCCGAGTCGAACCGGGCGAGTCCGGTTCGACTCGTCGACTTTTGAAACACTGAGTTGAAATAATACACATATACACATATATGAAGGGGTTAGGCCATTATTTTTATTGATGAGAATTCGATGTTTTTTGAAATTGGATATGGTATCAGAGCCACTTTGAACAAAGGCAACCCTTCTACATCATTATCATCATTAATCGAACCTTATCCTAAATATTAGGGTTGGCTACACAAATCCTATTTTGCCATTCCACTCTAACAAGGTCATTAGCTCAATCAAACCATGAGTCACCATATTTCTTCTCACTACTTCCATCCATGTCCTCTTGGATCTTTACCTTGCCCTTTTAGAGCCCCTTCCATTTGAACCAAATCATCCCTCCAAACCACTGTTATTCTAGGTCTATGATGCAAATAGCCAAACCACCTAATTGTACTTTATCTCAACTTATCGTCCATTGGAGCCACCACTAAATTTTCATCTTAGTTATACTTATTATGTAGATTTGTTGTTTCTTGACCACCCAACATTTTGTCCATAAAGCATGGCTCATCTTACAGATGCCTTACAAAACCCCCCTTTAGTGTCACGGGATGTGATGATCATATAAGACTCCAAAAGCATATCTCCACTTCCTCCACCCAGCTCTAATTCTATGTACAACATCTTCCTCGATCTCTCCATTCTCATGGAGTTGTCAACTCAAGACATTGAAAATAATCTCTATTAGGTACTTCTTGGCCATCAATCTCAACTAATTCCTCGTTTCTATTCTTTTTATTACTAAACTTGCATTCCATATATTTTGTCTTGGCTTGGCTAATTTCAAAACCTTCAGATTCTAGAGCATCCCTCCAAAGTTCTAACTTATGTCAAACAAAGCGTCCCTTATATCTAAAAAATCATAACCTAATAATCCAAAGGTTGCCTGGAACCAGTTCCAACAAGATTACAAATCCAATGTGTGCAACACAAGTTACTCAACTATGAGCATCATGAAGTACCACCTAAGATTTCGGTCTTATTCATTTATTTATTGCACGGGTGTCTCCATATAGGATTGTGAAAAACCGCAAACACCTATCAACTGTAATAACTATGCAATCGTCCAAGCAATACAAGCACAAAAGTTGATACTTTCTTTGATCCTTTAGGAACCATTTCCCCAGTCCACATCTTGTGATAGAAAGATGTGAACTGGAATGTAAATGTCAACACGTGCAAATCAATTCCAAGAAACATGGGAACACATGTTGCCACTTCCAAAAAGTATGTAGTCTTACTAGAATAAGAACTTGGTCATGACTACAAGAGAGAGAGAGAGAGAGAGAGATTTCATGCTAGAATTCACAACATGCCTCACGGCACATTAAAATCCTCATATAGGCTTTAAAGCATTACAATCTGACGGAAACCCAAAATCAGTATTAATCACATATCAACATAACCTATATCCTAGTTTAAAGTATTTTTAGTACTCAAACAGATTGTTTACTCCAAATTGGGAGAAAATGATACATTTACCAACCAAGAATTTCGACAAAATTATTTACTAAAAATAGATAGATCTTCACATTTGCATAATGATGGTTGAATTAATTTGACAATGAACTCAAGGATTTCAAAAATAATGTAACTTACCTGGCTCATTTCACCTCTGATGCGATTAATTCTGTCAGCATTAGGGTCATTTGAGTAATACTCTATCTGTTGGCTCAAGACCCTAGAGAACTCATCATTCATGCCATAAGCAGGAGCTGTATGAACAGCACGGCCATATGTCTTCACAAATCGTCCATGGATGTCCTCCAGAAATGCAAAAGGGATCCTTCCTACACCACCAAATAATAATATTAATAATAACAATAATAATAGTAACAATAATCATAATTTCCCTCTCAATTGTTATTCGAAATGAGCAACAGCCAAAAACTCAATTGATAAACTAACTCAGTTGATAAACTTACTGTATAGAAAATAGAAAAGAAAGAAAACTGCAATGGGTGACTACAATTTGATTAACATTACAAGAATGGTGAGCAGAGTACTTATTAACCCACACAAAACCAATGAATAGACTTAGAAACCCACAAGACTTGATAAAGAATTTCCTTACAAAGCTAAAATACAATCCAAATTCATGTGTAATTTTCAAAGTGGATCTGGATTGACCTGTTTTTTTTTGGGTAAAACCTTGCAAATATTAGTGAGAAATGACCAAAATGCCACTGATTCATGAAAAATAAAAAAGTCAACGTGTGCTAAAAATTAAGTGACTGAATTTAGAGAAATTTACGTACGGAAACGATCCGGGGGGGGGGGGTCAATTACCAAATGGCTCACGTTTGCCCGAAATTACGAGTACCATCCCCCTCACGTGAAATTTTTTTCCCCTAAGATACCCCCTTGTCCGGCAATGCAAACACTGGACGGGGGTGGGGGGGGGGGGGGCTATGCTATTCCTAGTTATTTGCTGTCCGATATTTAAAATACCGACCAGACAGCTATCTGCTACCCCCAAAACCAGCAAACCCTCTCTTCAAACATCGTGATTCTGTATTTTTTTTAAAACAATCTCTCTCAGCCCTTCTCTCACTCTTTGCTCCACCATCGCCATCCTTCCTAACATCCCGGCCACCACCACTACAGCCATCCTCCACTCTCATGGTTATTCTAGAATGCCATTTCCTCCACATTAAGTTGCCCCATCAAACACAAAAACCTTTCTCTCTCTGCTGCCCCACCCCTCTCTCTCTAGATCCCCTCTCTCTCCTCTCTCTGGTCCTCTCCAAAAACCCACCTCCCCCCACCAAATTCCCACTTTCGTTGTCTACGATCTCCCCAAAAACACTTCACCACTACCTTCTCTCTATCCACCATTCTATACATCTATCCTCTGCCCTCAAATTCATTCACTGGGCCTCTCAACAACCCAACCAAATCCGTACTACCCATTCTCTGTCTATATTCATTCACACCCTTTCTCGCTCATAAGCTACAAACTCAACTCGTTTGATCTTGATCTGATTGTTCGATAGGAAGTTCCCCAATCTCTTACCTCAAGCCCCATTTGCAAATTTCTCGAGCTTTGATTGAGACCCATCTTCCTGGTTCTTCAGCTCCCAATCTCTCTCTCTCTCTAACTTTATCACAAACACAAAGGGTTGTATGGTCTTTTGAACATCGGACAACAAATGCTAAAAAACTTTAAGGATGGGAAGCTGTCAGGTATTTCGAACACCAGACAGCTGTTTTGCTTTGCACGATCACCTAAGGGGGGCGGGGGGGGGGGGGTGGGGTGTGTGCTTATTTAGTTGTAAGTAATAGTAGACGACCGAGGGGAGGGGGTAGGTGTCGTACTATTAGTTAGGTAAG